CCTGCCAAGGCAAAAAGGAGGTTTTTAAGAGGAAGGTTTTTCTGAAAAAGAAAGATTTTAAAAAAAAACTCTCTCTCTCCTCAAAACCACAAAGTTTTTGATAAAAAACCAAATAAAAATTTTGGAGTGTCACATGTGGATTTGACATATCCGACCCAAGTGAATTAGCCCGCAGTGCGAGGCCGCCGAATACGAAGATCTGTCTGGGGAGAAAAGTCTCACCCTGGACAGCGTTGTTGATTGAAGACGCCATCGAGCCTATCGGTGACGACACAGAGGAACTCTCAATGAAAGCACCAATGTCGGTGTCAAAACCGACGGATCTCGGGTAGGGGGTCCCGAACTGTGCGTCTAGGCGGATGGTAACAGGAGATAAGGGACACGATGTTTTACCCAGGTTCGGGCCCTCTTGATGGAGGTAAAACCCTACGTCCTGCTTGATTAATATTGATGATATGGGTAGTACAAGAGTGGATCTACCACGAGATCAAGGAGTCTAAACCCTAAAGCTAGCCTATGGTATGATTGTTGTGATGTATGTTGTGTCCTACGGACTAAAGCCCTCCGATTTATATAGACACCGAAGGAGGCTAGGGTTACACAGAGTCGGTTACAATGGTAGGAGATCTACATATCCGTATTGCCAAGCTTGCCTTCCACGCCAAGGAAAGTCCCATCCGGACACAGGACGGAGTCTTCAATCTTGTATCTTCGTAGTCTTGGAGTCCGGCGGACGATGATAGTCCGGCTGTCCGGACACCCCCTAGTCCAGAACTCCCTCAGCCCCCCTTCTTCTTCTTCTTCCTTGACCTTCTCCCTAGATGGGAGAAGGGTTTCCCCTCTGGTCCTTGGCTCCCATGGCTTGGGAGGGGCGAGAGCCCCTCCGAGATTGGATCTATCTCTCTGTTTCTGCGTTTTCTGCGTTGGCAAATTCTACCCCTTCACCGTTTCCTTTATATCTGGAGATCCGTAACTCAGATTGGGGTGAATCTTTCGCCCAGATCTTCGTCATAAAATTATGTTTCTTTCGCCAGAAGAATAGCATCAACCGCCTTACGGGTGGACCACGAGGGTCAGGGGCGCGCCTGGGAGGGTAGGGCGCGCCCCCCTACCTCGTGCCCACCTCGGATACCGTTTCGCGTCGATTTTACTTTCAGAAAATCATAAATATTCCAAAAAAAATCTCCGTCTGTTTTTATCCCATTTGGACTCTGTTTAATATTGGGTTTCTGCGAAACGAAAAACATGCAACAGACAGGAACTGGCACTGGGCACTGGATCAATATGTTAGTCCCAAAAATAGTATAAAAAGTTGCCAAAAAGTATATGAAAGTGAATAATATTGGCATGGAACAATCAAAAATTATAGATACGACGGAGACGTATCAGGGTCCAAGTCTCCTGGATCGCGTTCGGGGAGAAAATCACGTTCCCGAAGGTTTCATTCCGTTTGGACTCTGTTTGATATTCCGTGTCTTCGAAACACTGAAATAGGCAAAAAAAACAGCAATTCTGGGCTGGGCCTCCGGTTAATAGGTTAGTCCCAAAAATAATATAAAAGTGGAAAATAAAACCCAATATGGTCCAAAATAGTAGATAAAGTAGCATGGAGCAATTAAAAATTATAGATACGTTGGAGACGTATCAGCGGCGCGAGAGGAAAGCTTGTCCGCTTTTTGCATCTTGTGCGATGGGTTCATCCACCGGCCACTCGTGTCCGCCTCATGTCCGCTAGGTGGACGTGCGACCCAAATGGACAAAATCCGTGTGTTTGGGTCGCCGCATTGGAGTTGCTCTTAAAGTAGTAATACTCAATCTTGTTCTGCACATGCTCCAAGGGCGTGTTGGTTGCGTGCATAAGGCCCAACCAGGCCCACGCGGGAAGGGAACAGAGTGTTTGGACTCCTGGTTTTACTATTAGGCCTGCACAACACGAAACTTAAAGCACCGCTGGGCCTGGCTCACTGGGAACACACAAATCGGCAGTTTCTCCAGGGCCAGGCCTGAGCGGTGCACGTGGGCGGCGGCGGCTGCATGCGCGCGGCCACCCTCGAGAAGCCGCGTTGTTTCCCGAAGCCCCGATAGTTATTAGCCTCACCGCCCCTCACCGCTCCCTCTCCCCACTCTTTCCCACTCTCCCAACTCTCACCGGCGGCGGCGGATCGGAGCAGAGGTAGAAGACCACCAGACTCCATCACCGGCGAGCGGATCAGCAGTTGGCCCGCGGAAATGGCGGTAAGCACTTCTCTCTCTTCGACATGCAAAACTTTATCCCGTTCGATCCAGCGGTAGATTCGACCCATGGCGAGGGGAATGGGGAATAGAGGTAGATACAAGATCGGAATGCAGATCATACAAGTTCATACTAGTTCATAGAGCATATGGGTAGTTCATACTAGTTCATAGCAGTTCGTACGAGTTCATAGATGCAAGATCGGAATGCAGAAGAGGGATTGGGGGATAGGGGATAGGGGGATAGGGGGTACACAATGGACACCGGCTGAGCGGCCGTCACCGGCGTGCGGAGCAGCTGGTCGAGCCGCTGCCCTTCATCTTCTTCTTCATCGCCGTGCAGGCCGGCGGGTCGTCGTCGTCGTCGTCCTCGGCGGAGTCCAGGTCGATTTGCCAGGGACGACGCTCTGGCTCCGGCGCCCATGCTGGCATCTACACCGCTTCTTCTTCCTCCTCCTTAGGCTCCCTACCGGTGACCGCCGACAGCATGATAGCTGTCTCCCAGTACACCATGGCACGACGGTCATTAGGAGCCCAGTAGGTCTTGTACTTGCACCACTTCTTCCTCTGTTTAGCGTCCTCGGAGATGGCCTGATTCATGGCCCAGCGAATGATGTCAACTGTCATCGCCCCCTTCGCTGGGTTAGGAATCAGCGTCTTCAGCTCTTCTGCAGTGGCCTTCATGAGCACTGCATTTGATTCCTTCTGCATGTCAGGTATGGAGCCGAAGTTCGAGCACGCCTCCATGGTGTTCTCGAACTTGGTCCGGTCACCAGCCGTCCACCCGAGGAAGAAGGCCCTCCAGCCAATACCCCAAAGGAAGGGGTTGGCCTTGGAGCTGGAGCTAGAGCTCATGGCGATGGGGAGGAGGAAGGTTGACAGTGAGAGAAGAGAGGGGGTGGGTAAGTAGTGGTGGGCAGGGTGAGTAAATATAGGGGGATGGAGAGGAGGAGAGTGACAGTCATGCCGTTTTAACTACAAGCTCTTCAATTAGCCATGAACTCTGTGTTGTGTGTGACTCCATGAATTGTGTGCAGATCGAGGAGAGCAATGAGATGGGCACGGAGGTGCTCCTGGCCGTTGACAACAAGGGCAAGCAGCCCCTTCACCCAATGCCCGACGAGGTTGTGTTGCCGCCCACCGCCGAGGAAGACCCGAAGACGCCTGAGGGTGGCGACGACGAGGGCATGGAGGAGCCCCCCAGGAACAAGCGCCGCAACTACGGCAACTACCATCAGCAGGATGGCCCAACTCACTTCTGCAAGGTCATCCTTGCACCGAAGCTTGAGTGCATCCCCATGCCCCTGGACTTCATCAAGCACTTCGTCGCGGTGCCGACGGAGTTCAAGCTCAGGAACAACACCGGCTGCTCAAGGAAGGTGACGGTGAAGCTGATGAACGGCAGGGTGACCCTGGATCAGGGTTGGGCCACCTACGCAGCCGTTCATCAGATCAAGATCAGCTAAATGGTGACGTTCAAACTCCTCACTCTCGACACCCTCAAGGTCATTATCTTCGACGACGATATCATTGAGGTCGTCAACAAGTGCGGGAAGCACGACGAAGCCTTCGCCGCCAAGGAGTAGGGTCGGGGCCTCCCTAAGTACTATCGAGTCTGCTTTGAACTGTTTATGTTTATGGTTTATGCGTAGAACTGTTATGAAGTGTGGTACTGCTTATCTGAAATATGCTCTTAAGTAGTTGATCCTCTGTTTATACTCTGCTCTGCTCATGATGTGTGCTACTGATTGTGCCGAAGTGTGCTGGTAACCTCACCAACTAGCCAAAGAGGTTACCACACACCGGCATTGCATACAACCAAACACTATGTCTTGGGTTTGTCCACTAATATGCAGGCAACCAAACACTCTGCCCATGCAGGCAAGAGGGCATGCAGACAACCAAACAAATGCAGATGGTGCATTTGAGGCTGCATTTGCATAGACAGGTTGGGTGGAGAAGTGTATGCAATACGGGTACTGTAGCACACGGCAACCAAACACGCATCAAGTGTTCCCGCACAAACATCGCCATAGCCTCCTCATCACCCTCCCGGATGTTGTCCCGCTCCTTGACAACAATGCGGGTCTTGAGCTTCATCGGGCGGGTCTATGGTCACCGGCGGACCGACAAGCTTGGCTGCCTGTCGAGACTTGGTCTTCGAGAAGTTGATTCTCTCATGCGGCAGACCAAGCCTCCACGCAATAATGTCGTAGGCGCAGGCTACAATGTTTGCTGACGTGAAGGTGTCGAACCAGTATCGCCGACCGGCGTGCTGGAACTCAACACCGAACCAGTCAGACGGCCGCAAAAACACATCAACTATGCTCTCTAATTTTGCAGCCCTCCAAATCAATTGAGGTGTTCAACTTTGATTTGGTTCATGATTTTGACCGAGTCAGCAATTTCTCAAAATAATCGGCAACAACCAGGCTAAATCACATTAATAGAAAAAAGCGTCGACATGCGACAATGTAGCACCACAATGACATGCGACAATGTAGCACCACAATGTGCAGCTAAACCCTTCTACTGGTAGGAGATAAGCCAAACCACTAAAGATAGGGGAAACGAAAACATTCATGGCATCAACATACTGAAACAGCTCAGTGCATTAGTCACTAAATAAAATGCAGAACTCCTACAAAGGATTCAGCATGTACTAACGCAAGGATATCCTGACAAGCTTTTTCTGACTTGTTTGTCTGACATAAATCTGACAAGCATGCAATAGTCTTATTCAACTCTGGCTGTTGAAACTCACTGAGTTATGGGCCCAACATCTTTAGCTCCTCGTCAGTGGCCAAGACAATCGGCCTCGATAGCACAGGGAACCCTGGTGCATAGTAGCTGTTCACATCGGTTGCAAACTTCAGGTCCCTCCGAGAGTCAAAATAGACAAAATCGGTGTCTAGTATGTCTTCTGCGTCCTTTGTTCCATATGCAGTAATGTCAGACATAAAGTACTCTGTGGAACACGGATAAACAATCTTCCTTGCAGAAGCCTCGCCAAAGTAGCAACGTCCTGTTCGCAAGACCAAACTAATTACAAAGATAATTGTAACACACTAGAAAAATATGTACACATCAATAATAGCACATAATTGTTCAGCTTATGTAATAATTTCCGTATTAAAGCTATACTCTACAGCATGTCATGTGCACACAATATACATCTAGATTGTATGCAAATATGACAATCATTGAAGCGACCAGAGAGGGCTGAGCGGAAGCATACTCAATACGAGGGGAAGTGCACATCACGGATAACTATATCGGACAGTGTAACAAAGGGGCAGGTAGATTAAATAGCTAAAAGAGCATAATTAGAACTGCAGTGTCAAGATGGTCGCAATTCTACAGAGAAATGTGAAAAACACACAAAAACAAACAAAAATTGGAACTTTTCAGGGTATCTTTCGATCGCAGGTCCTATGGATTAATGTGGTTCAGCAGGCCCGGAAGAACTAAAGTCATATGGGCAGCCCGGTGCATGTAGCTCCCGCTTGCGCAGTGTCCGGGGAAGGGTCCGACCACTTTGGCTGTTTTCTGTAAGAGGCTGTTTCCAGGACTTGAACCCGTGACCTGAGGTCACAAGGCAGCAGCTTTACCCCTGCGCCAAGGCTCCCTTTCATGAACTAATGGCATATCCTTCATTCGTTTTAAATGTACAGTAATGAATTTACAGATCTACGCTTCTGTGGCACAAATAACAAAATAACACAACAATTTACTATTAGACCAATCACATAACCCCAGTTTCTGTGACAGGTTATTAACGAACCACAATCCCTTCATCCCTGTCTACTTGCATTATATTCTGACAGCTTGTGAGTTGCACTAGGCTGTCAGTGTCTTTTTCAGACCTAGCCTCCCCTCCTCTCCTTTCCATCTCTTTAGGTGTCTTCCTCTCATATGCAGAATAGGAAGTCCCGCTTCAACATATACAGATGTGATTCTTATCCATACATCCACTGGACAAACCATAATCCACTGGACATATACAGATGTAACACTAAAAGTGCCTACCACCTCGCCAAATCCATGCTGCAGGGGTGATGAACAAGGGAACCATAATCGACGTTGCTTTGTGCGGGATGGGAATCAGAGAGTTGAGTTCAACAGACGGATGCAGTCATGCAGCAAGTTAGGAGAACTCGGAATCAAAAGAGATGGTGAAGCATTCAACAGAAGTGGTAGTGGGCCACATCGGCGATCAAATCAAACCAGGCTGACTCAAAGTAAAGACAAGATGCAGACAAGGCTCAAGCTTCAGCTACATATTTACATGAGCAGAGCAGTCACTGGTAGAAGCTGGGTCGCGGCAACGCATCTAGCCGATTGAGCCTCCACAGCCCTTGAGTCAAGCAGCCATGGATTAGAGGGAGGGAGGGAGGGAGGGAGGGAGGGAGAGATGGAAATGCTGACAGGTGGTAGCTACTAGTGCAACTGGCAAGGCTTTATTCAACATATTAAAAGTAGAGCAGGAGTGACGTAAGTGTCTGTTACTAGAAACATTTACCCAGAAGCTGTGGTTATGTGAAGAAAAATATAAAAAACTAAAGTTCTGGTTTTTTGCATTACATCTGCCCCAGAAAATAGTAGCTTTGTGAAATTTACTCAAATATAATCGACAAGGCAAGAGGCATTTCAAAGAAAGCATACTTAGATACTTTTCTTTCCACCAAGCTAGAATTAACAGGTTCAATTGTCACTTTCACAGGTCAGTGTAATAGCAGAGCATACTAACCGAAGTTTGTATTGATATGAACAGTGAGAACTGAACAGAGTAATGTCAGTCATATCAAAAATATATCTAGCTACATGATATGCAACAGGGTTCATGCACCATGATCATGGAGATCTAATTATCCAAACCAGTGGCACACTGATGTCCCACCTTAAGCTCAGGCTGCTTGTACCAAATGGCAGGAACAAATACTTACCACTATATGGCTGTTGCAAAGGGCAGCAGAAATTTGGTTTTGGCGGCTGAGGATATGAAACCCAGAATTCAGCAAAGAAAAGTGTGTTCTCATCCTGTGATTCGGGAGTGGCCATAAAATTAACACGGTAGCACACTGTGAATAAAGGACCCCTTTCCTCCACACCACAAATGAAGTTCAGCACATATTTTGGTTCCTGAAACAAGTAGTAAGGTCGACTGAATCAAGTAGGAGAGGATGAAGATCTAAAAAATATGCAGCAATTAAAGATGAAAACAATTGTACATACCCAAGGATGCTCAGAGGCATACTTATCCAGTAGTTGTGCAAGCTTAAAACGAATGAATTCAGTCTTGCACCCATGTCCTGATCTCTTTCTTGACAGTGTTTTCAATGCCTCTTTGCATAGTTTAGGAGCCTGAGCCTGCAACTCATTCTGCACATGTGGAGTGATTTTGAATTCCCCTTCCAGAAAGGCAGCTATTTGATTGCAAACATCAGGGGATAACACCCTGCTCGAAGTTATCAAAGAGGAGAGCTGAGCAAATCTCGCAGGCACTTGTGCCAGCTGTTGGTAAAGCAATCCTAGGCCAGCAGGCAGAGGGTGTCCAGCAGCCTTGGCCGCCATATGAAAAATATTGGAAGAACCTGATCCTAGTGGAAACACTCCCGACAATTTCCCAAATAAGTCGCAAGTGTTGTCACGAAGGGCCTTCGCAGCACATTCCTCCGTCAATGTGGGGTCCAATGCACAGGCTAAGCATAGAAGGCCTTTTAGGGAACGAGCTTGTGTTCGAAGCATGTAGCAGGTGTTCAATATGTCATATGCTTGGATCCCCTTGCGGTCAGCCTCCGGGAGTGGACACCACCTGTCATACCAGATGGAGCTGATAATTACGTTGCTGACGGGATCCATGGGGCCATAGCAGTGGCCAGCAACAAGGATGCTGCGGATCAAGTGCTCGCAGCCCGCTGGTAGCCGGGAGAACACAGTGAGGTAGAAGGTTTGGATATACTGGAGGAGGCGCATCTTAAGGGACTGTAGGTATTCACAGGAGTTTCCGCACGCGGCATTTAACCTGTGCTTTTCTGCATTGGCCTCTGACAAACAATAAGATAGCCTCTCCAATCCAATATGGCGCACATATGTGATGTGGTATCCGGCTGGGCAGAGTGTGGTGGTGGTGCTGCTGCTGCTGTAGCCATCTCCGAGGTCAGAAATCTTGCTGGTGACTGCTTCTGCTGCAAGGACTTCTCCATGAAAGGTGATCTTCTGAACGTAGCAGACAGTTCTTCCGTTCGGCAGCAGGGCTACTTTGGCATCGTAGCAGGGCGTGTCCAGAGAGTGCACCAGATCGACAATGCCTTTGACATCGGCAATGTGGAGCTTCCGGCCACTATCCGCCAGAACACGGGCCGAGTTGAGCAGAATGTTCCTGGGGTACTGGGACGTCACGAACCGCACAAAGCTGTCGGGTGCAGTGTGACGTGCTCCGAGCGCCGCCATTTTGAGGGCAGCCTGCGTCCTTTCGGAGCCAGGGTAGGGGAGCAAAGGATTATCTGTGCCAAATTCATACTCGACAAGCATGACGGCAAGGCTAACATCGGCGCTGGACCAGAAGAGGTAGCGGGCGGCCTGGTCCTTGCTGAGGCATCCAAAGTAGCTCAGCATGAAATCAATGAGACCTTTGTAAGATTTCGATGCAATCTCGTCCCACTTAGGTTTTCGAGTGATTTTGGGGAGAGTCCTCTTGGACTTCTTTCGGCATGGAGAAGATGGCTTTGGGGTTGCTCCGATGTCGTGCGGTAGGACGGAGATGGTGTTGAAGATAATGTTGGAGACGGGATCGAGGAGGCCGAAACAGAAGCCGGAGCCTTCTACGAGGCGGAGGAGGTCAACGTCCGGCGGCATCTCCTTAACGGGCAGCCGATCGACCGCCTTGTCGTAGTAGTCGAGGATGAGGTCGAAGAGAAGCTTATGCGTGCCTTTGGACTGAGAGGCACTGTCGCACCTGCTGTACAGGCATGAGAGCACCCCCTTGGACGGGGAGAGGTCCGGCATCGGCGGCGACCTAGAGATCGGTTGCTGCAGAGGCGAGGCCGATCTAGGGTATGGCGGCGTAGGATGAGGATAGATGGCGATCTAGGGTTCGGTTGCAAGAGAAGGAGAGGCCGCGGAACGGGAGCTCCTTTTTTTTTTCTGACATCTGAACGGGGCTCCTATTTAGCGAGGAATAGGGATGAAACGCGCCAGGGCTATACGTCGCCCGTACCGATTCCTATCGACGCCTAGCGGGCCGGCCCATTTATCTGTTGTGGTTCGCTGCACGTTCGTCCTCGTTCGGTCAGTTTTTTTTCCTACTACTCCCTCTTTTTTTTTGCGGGGGAAAAAAGGATTTATATTAATCAACCTGAATCAAGCTGATCCAGTACACAAACATTTACAATCCCTTCAAGGCCAGACCCCAGCCAAACTGCAGTTTTTATGTCTGTACAAGCTATACGAGCAAGCTCGTGACTAACCTGATTCCTCTCACGTTTAATAGCCTTCACCTGGACCCTCCTATCACCCCTGGTTCGCATTTTGATCTCATGGATTAGTGCAGCATCCTTAGATCGATCAACAGCAGCTTGGTTGATCATCATTGCAGCCACTGAGCTGTCCGTTTCAATGATAAAAGGCAACGAACTCCATTCCAGCGCAAGAGAAATTCCCTTTTTGCACGCCTCCAACTCAGCTCGCAGTGCATTATCACACGCAAACAAGTGTCTGCATGAAGTGAAGATAATCTTGCCGTCACTGTTCCTCAGGACCATACCGGCTCCACCATTACCCGCGTGCTCAGAGAAGGCACCGTCGACGTTCAGCTTTAGCCATCCAGCAGGGGGAGGCTCCCACTTCTCTGTTGGTCGCGGGTCTGCACCTCTCGTGCTCGGCGCCGGCGCAGCAACTACACCAGCTAGGCATGCCGGGTCTGTGAGCACCATTTTGCCTTTTACAACGTCTTCCATTGGGTGCTGCTGAATACAGAGAAGCGAAGAAATATAACTATGCAAGAATCTGCAGGAAACTTCTGTGGGAGGCGGTTCCTTGTCATGAATGATCTCATTACGAACGTGCCATGATCTCCAGAATATCATCAGGGCCACCATGCGAGAAGTATCCAAGAGGGGCTCCAAAACACCGAATAACCACTCCGGCCCCGTGTTCTGTATCAAACTGATGTCCGGAAGAATCCAGTCCTTCGCCATCGCGCCCCATAGGTCCTTTGCCTGTGGACATCTGCACATAGCATGGAAGACATCCTCGCGTTCCACACCACAAAGTGGACACATATCATTAGGCTCCAGAGTTCTAGAAAATTTATTAGCCCAAGTAGCAAGGGAGTTTGAGACCAGCCGCCATGCAAACACTCGTACCTTTCGGGGAGCAGGGCACCCCCATATGGTCTTCCAGATGGCGCGACGGGCATCCAGTGCCCTGCTCGAGGCGCTTGCCGATGGACGCTCGCGCTCATCCATGGCAAAGCGGTATGCTGACCGAATGGAGAAGACACCGGGTTTCTCCGGAGCCCAGGCTAGGACATCCTCCGTGGCGCGTGGAGAGGTCTTGATGCTCGTGATGGTGTCGATGTCGACTGGCAGGAAGTGACGACAAAGAAGATCCAACCTTCAAGCACCTCTAGCATCCAGCAGGTCCGAGACCCTCTGGAGTCTACACGTGCCTTGCGAGGTGATGAGCTGGCCTGAGGGCGACCGAGGCAGCCATCGATCCTGCCAAATACGAATTTGTGTCCCACTACCAACCCGCCACACTAGCCCCTTTTTGAGGAGTTCGAGGCCGTGTTGGATCACTTGCCAGGTAACAGATGAGTTCCCAGAGGACACTGTGTCCTCTAGCCGTCCGTCGGGGTAATAGCGAGCTTTTAACACCTGCGCACAAAGACTATTGGGTTTAATTAGAAGATGCCAAGCCTGCCTCGCTAGCAGGGCCTGATTAAACACCCTGAAGTCACGGAATCCCAGACCACCGCACTGTTTATGCCTTTGGATCTCTGGCCAAGCCATCCAGTGTGTTTTCCGCTTACCCTCCTTCGAACCCCACCAGAATTTTCTAACCATTCTGTTTAGGTCATCACAGACGGACATGGGAAACTTGAAGATCCCCATCATATAAGTGGGAATAGCTTGGAGAACAGCTTTGATCATTGTTTCCTTCTCTGCCAGAGAAAGCGTATCTCCCCAAGCAATAATCCTTTTCATTAAGCGGGCCTGTAGGTTTTGGAATTTACCCTTGGACATCCTACCTTCGGGCGTCGGCAACCCCAAGTACTTTTCTTCAAAAGTGGTGAGCTGAAGCTGTAGAGTCATACGCACATTTTCCTTATTGATTTCAAGACAATGCTTCCCAAACAAAATGCTGCATTTAGCCGGATTAATTAGCTGCCCCGTGGCCCCTTAATAAGCCAAAATAATATTGCGGATATTCTCCACTTGTGGTGCGTCGGCCTTGAAGAAGAGCAAGGTGTCGTCCGCGAACAACAAGTGAGATATTCCTGGAGCTCTTCTGCATACCTTCAGGGATGAGAATTTTCTCTTTTCCTCTCCATCCTTTAACAAAGCAGATAACCCATCAACAATAAACAGGAACAAAAATGGTGAAAGGGGATCACCTTACCGTAGCCCGCGCGACGGTGCAAACGAATCCAAGAGGGTGCCATTAAATTTGACAGTGTATCTAACCGAGGTGACACAAGTCATAATCCAGTTCACCCATCGGTCAGCGAAATCCAACTTTTGCATCGTCCGCCTCAAGAACCCCCAGTCAACCATGTCATAAGCTTTAGACAGATCCAACTTATAGGCGCAGAAACTTTTTTGCTGGGTCTTTCTCCTGCTGAATATGGTGAATGCACTCAAATGCAACAAGAACATTATTTGTAATCAGTATACCTGGAACGAAAGCGCTCTGTTCTGGTGATATAATGTCCTCCAACATAGGTCTTAGCCTGTTCACTAGGCACTTCGACACCACTTTATAAATAATATCGCATAAACTTATGGGCCTAAATTCAGTAAGCTTTACCAAATTATCGATTTTTGGGATGAGAATAGTGGCAGTGTCATTAACCCCCTCTGGCATAATCCCTGACCAAAAGAACTCCTTTACAGCGGCAGTGACTTGGGCCTTCATGACCAACCAGTTTTTCTGGAACACACAGGCTGGGAAGCCGTCCGGCCCAGGCGCTTTCAAAGGACCAATCTAAAAAAGCGCATCTGCTATCTCCTTAACAGAGAACTCTGCACATAGTTTGTCATTCATACCATTAGTAACATGAGTACCAAGAAGATTAATTATTGGATCTGCACAAAGGGATGGATCAACAGTAAAAAGCTTGGTAAAATAATCAGTGACCATATTAGCCATCTTGGTGCTCTCCTTCTGTACTTCCCCAGACTCATCAACAAGAGATTTAATACGATTTTTCCGTGCCTGCCAAACCGCCTTACGATGAAAAAGTTAGTGTTCCGGTCGCCTTCTCGTAGCCAGTCAATACGAGACCGTTGCATCCAAATCATTTCCTCCCTATAGAGTAATTCGTTCAAGCGGTCTCTGGTTTCCCTGATGGTTCTTTGATCTGCATTCATAGCCATTAGTTCCTCAAGCCGGGTACGAGATTTATTAATCTCTTTTATCACGTTACCAAATTTTTTCTTACTCCACCCTTGCAACGCATGCATGAGCTCCCTAGGGCAGTCGCAACGTCGCCCAGGTTCCCCATACTACCAGCCGTTGTCCAAGCCTGTAGGATCACCTCCGGTAGTGTGTGGTCACGTTCCCACGCCACCTCATAGTGGCGACGCCTCCTGCCCGCCTTCTCCCTAGGCGGTTCAGGAACCCACTGAAGGAGGATCGGGGCATGGTCAGAGGTAGGTGCCACCAAGTGTTGGACTTTCGCCTCCATGAATAAATCGCGCCACAGTATCTGCCACTGCCCTGTCCAGCCGCACCTTGACATGTGCTCGTCCGGACCGCCGGTTATCAGGTGTACGGTAGTCCTGAAAAGCCAAGATCACCTAGTCCACATAATCCCAATGCATCACGAAAATCAATCATCTGACCTGTTAAGCGAGGAGTATCAGAGAAGTGCTCGAAGCCCCACATGGCCTCGTTGAAGTCGCCAATCACCACCCATGGCATGTCTACCCGAAGGTGAGGATCCCGAAGGAGCGACCACATGTGGTGCCGGTGCTCCGTCCGGGGCTCGCCATAGACGCAAGTGAGCCTCCAAGGTGGCTCACCTGCTACAGAAGTCACATATGCATCAATGTATTGTTCATTCATATCTTTTACATCAACTCGCACAGATTCGTGCCAATATAGTGCGAGACCTCCACTAAGACCATTGCTACCAACTGCCTCGAAACCACTCAAGCCTAATCGAGAGCAATATCTTTTCATTTTTTCTTTCTTTTGGTTGTCTAGTTTCGCATAAAAAGACAGTACAAAGGGAATGAGTTTGCACCAAACTCATGAGATCCCGAACTGTCCGAGAGTTCCCTCCCCCTCGGCAGTTCCAACTTAAGGTACTCATTGCTCCTGACGGGGCGCCACTGATGGCCCCGTTAGTTGACCGGCGGCCCCAGGGCCGGTTCCCTCCATGGTGTCATCCCTCTCCTTCTCCAAAGCGACAGATGTCGCACAACCTCCCATCTCACCTAGCCTTTGCTTCTCTGGCGTCCCCTCAGGTTTATCCTTCACGCTCACCTTGGTGTGCACTACCAAAGCAGTGCCCAGAGTATCCTGCCAACCAACATCCAGAAGGTCCCTAGTGTTGTGTTTATCAAGAGTAGATGTGTCCTCTGACATCTCTGCATCTGCAGCGCGGGCGCTCGACAAGAGGTATTGCAAGGCCAGGATCATATTGGACCTCCAAGGGATAAGTGAGTTGTGCCCCTGCTGGCCCGCTGCATACGAGTCAAGTTGGGTAGCAACAAACGCCTCCTGCACCTGTGTTGTAGCTGCACTTGCCACACTTGTAGTACTAATCAGCTGTAGCA